TTGTATTTTGTCAACATATCATGTACATCTGGCCAGGCAATGCTTGAGAAATGTTTTCCGCTATGACTGGTCCTTTCAGTTGTTAGTCTGACAGGTGAAAGAGGGCCAGGGCTGATAGAAGATGGGCTGCCACTGTATGAACCCCCATGAGGACTTATTAACCCCAATTCTGAACCCACTGACCATCGTCCACTTTCTGCCCAAGACCTGCGTTCATGTCTAGTTGGACTGGGTGGTCTGTCCCCTAGAGCAACAAAGGACAAACTGGTTCCTCGAAGCCTCCTCTGGCTCTGCGAGCTGGTTGCTGAACATGAAGACATTCCCATTGGGGTAGGAGAGATGATTCTGGGGCCTCTAGAGTTTGTTTCCACTTTTGTTGGAGAAGATGCATTTGTTATTGAGGGATTCCTTGGCTGCGGATTAGCAACACCCCATACATTTGCAGGAATGCCAATAGGAGGTGGCGAGGTGATTCTGGGGCTCTCACAGGGAGATAATGAGCTAGCTGATGTTGATCTTGAGATTTCCAAAGATAGAGGGGTAAAAAAGCTACCTTGTCTGGGGGTTCTGGGATTTGGTGGCTTTGTTACCAGATGACTGGAGTGGTTTGGAGCAGGTGGAGGGGAGCAGATTTGGGTGACTGGAGATGGGCAAATAGAAGGGGACTGTACACAAGAGCTAGGCTCAGAGGACGGAAAGGGACGAGCCACCCTATTGTGCAAGGTTGTTCTTTGAGGATCATGGAAATGAGGGAGTCCACCCACATTTGAGTGTGGTGTTGTTTTGTGGTTAGTGGCCCACCCGTTATTACTTAAACTGTTGTTATTGTTATTATTACCATTTAAACTGGTGTAAGAAGGCTGTTCAAGAGCAGCAGAGTTTGGGCTGTTAGCAGATGCAGCTGAATGGAGGCTAACTGGAGGTGCAGGGGATATTGACCGTTGACTAAGGCAAGGAGGAGGGGACTGAACTGTTGATGGACTAGATCGAAGACTGTTTGATCTGAATGGGGATGGACAAGACCTTAGGGGTTGACTCCCTACCCCAGTGCTGGATGTACTCCTAAAACCTGACTCCGCACTTAAGTCCAAGGTGATGGGTTTAGGTGATGGTGACCTTAGCCTTAAAGAAGATGTGGGCAAAGGAGCAGAGCTCACAGGTGGGGAAGCAGTCTGAAGATGTGCACTTCTCTTGGCCATGGTTTGAGAAATTGTCTGACTAATACAAGAGGCAGCAAGAGACTTTGTATGAGCTGAGGCCGTTGAGGACAGTCTGGAGTTCTGGGCACTTCTATTTGGAGAGGGTGATCGCATTCGCAGGTTTGGGCTAAAGGCAGAC